GTCGATCTTCATAATTTATTTTGCCAGAGAAAGCATCCATCATCCATCGAAAACTGTCCATCAAATCCTTTTAAAATCAATTCGTCAAGCCCTTCCGAACCATTCTCTTCCATTCCTACAATCAAACGAATTTAATATTATAATCAATCTACTCCAAAAATGTTAATAAAGTATTTATCACCTTCAAAACAGATTTTCAAGTTGACAGGAAACTCTATTTCAGCATTCTGATGTGCTTCGATAGCATTAAGCCATCCAATGATAGGTCCTTTATCGTCACTAGCACCTCTGCCAACTAATTGACCTTCTGGAGTCTCGTTCATATCAAAAGGTTTTGAGCTCCAGCCATCTTCAAGCAACGCCTTTTTACAAACATTTTATAAACATCAAATAATCAAATAATACTTATTAAAAGAATTAAAATAATAAAGATGGTTAAAAGTCTCACAGGCTGAACATCATAATGTCCGTAGACCAAAATGGTTTTTTTATTAGGATCGTTGCCATAAGTACCCAAAATAATAGGTGGAAGTTTCAACTCTACATCATCCATAACATGACTGCCTATGTCGCGAGCTTCATATCTATTAATTCATATCGTGTTATATGATGAATAATTATGTAATAATAAATTCGGGCATTTAAATTACATTATATGGTAAAAGTTTATTTTGTCATTAATTAGTGACAGAATTTTCGTACAAAATGAGTGCTGCAAAGCTAAAACCAGCATTTGTGAATTTTCCGAAATCAATTTTATAGAAACGGACTTATCAGACACATGATCCATTACAGCTGTTTTCATAAATTTGAGACACCTAAAAATTTTCTTGTTTCCCGAAACCTTTTCGATCCTGTTCTAAGAATCATCTAACTTTTCGGAAACAACTTCGCTGTATCCATAGTGAAGTCCCAAAGTAGTTTCCGAAAAGTTAAGTGATTCTTAGAACAGGATCGGTAAACAAGAAAATTTTTAGGTGTCTCAGAATTTATGAAAACAGCTGTAAATAGAATTTATTATAGAATTTCATCAAGAATCTGATCACTGTTTCTGAAAAGAGGAGCCGGCAAAAACTGAAATTGTTTTGCAGCACTCAAATAAAAATTGTAACTACATAACATAACTTTTCTTTGATACCAAATAACGAATTGACTCCTGATCATAACATGACTTAGTAAGAGGTATTAAATCATGAGGTGATCTATTTTCTGATACATAAAAGTTATGTTGAATAGTTAAAATTATTATTGGACACGAAAATTCTACCACCAACTAAAGAATTTAATAAGCTTTTAGTCTATTACATAAAATTCTCAGTGTAATTTAATTAAACATATGATAGAAAAAGACATTAATTTTTACTTAATTCCTAGTTTCTCGAATAAGGAAGTAAGCCAATGAGACATACGGATAACGTCATCTCGACGTCCGACATCCGAACTTATACTAAATTATAGAATATTCATTCCGTTTAGTTAATGCAAATGAGTAGCTCGCAAAACTGTTTTTTGAATGCATGACTGCTATTTATATAATTCGCATACATATATTACCTTGGAATGGCAACAGCTTCTCTCAACCTCTCAACGTAATCGTCTTGGTTCTGCTCAACAGTTTTGTAAAATTTTTCCAAAGCCTCAGCGTTCGCCATTATAACAAAGTTTATTAAATTTGACCTAATAAATATGAAATAAAAACGAGAACAAAAAATCTACGTCACTGACCAATAAATGCGTTTTCATATGAAAATTTTATTTCTCACGTGAGCATAATATGCACTTGAACTCTATCGATGATATTTTCCATTATTACTCAATGAAACCGCACATACATACATTATTATGCAAATTTGTATATTATCATTATGAATACATGTACAATAGACTGAGAATGTAGACATATAATAGAGACCATAATAGAGTTACGGAATAGAGTTACGGAATTATACGTATTGTCTTGTGGCAATGGCGTGTCGTATATATTTCATATAAACATAAGGCAAAGAGAGTAATAATATAATTAAAAAATTTATTTAGTATTCACCGGAAGTGAAAATACGCTCACCGGAGGTGAAATTCACCGGGTATGTTGTTTCCCCCAAAACGGCCTTTATAATCGGGATACAAAAAACTGTGATTATAAAGAGGTATGACTAATATAGAGGTATTTTCTATACGTATAATTATAAATAATTGAAATAATTGGCAAAAATAAATTTGTAATTATATTAATTTTGTGACTATAGAGGGGGTTTGACTGTACTAAGTAAAAATGTCCAGCATCTATTCTCTACCTTAATTCAAGCCTTAGACCCTAACCCTAAAGTTTTAATAGCATTAAGATTAATTTGATTTGGCTAGGGATGTTAAATTGCGAATCCAGTCCGGTCCGGTCCTAGGATCTAAAAGGACGGTCCTGGACTCGGTCCTTAAATCACATGAAAACATAATGAAAATACATTACAGTTACTTAGATTCTGTATCAGATCCTGAATTGAATCTATCGAATAAGTTTATCCAATCAAATTAATTTTGTATTGTTATAAAATGTATTGTGTTTTCGTGTAACTTAAGGACCGAGTCCTTACCGATCCAAGGATCCGAAAGGATCGGTTAGGACTCGATCCCAAAGGATCGATTAACATCCCTTGATTTGGCAAATTTAAGTTGATTCAATACAGTCATACCTCTCTATAGTCACCCTCTATATAGTCACATTTACTTATAATCACACCAACCTTTAGAATCAACTCATATAAAACATATAAAAATTTAATCTCTATATACAGTAAATGCAATTCTTTGAATTTCTTAAAATCAAATATGTAATTATAGAAAGGTTTGATTGTACATTGTTATAATTAAATTTAATAGAGAATAATGTTTAAATCAGATAAAGGTTGTAAGTATAGCCTCTTAGTAATTAGAAATTAGCTAATTACTGTTTCTCTTACAAAATTACTGTATATACAGTATATTAAAAACCTTTTTTTATATATGGAAGTGAGTCAAACCAATTTTTTATAATAAAATTTTTTTAAAACTTTGAGCAAAAATACCTCAATTAATTAAAATTACACACTTGGTTTCAAAAAATTCTGTGCTTATAAAGAATTGTGCTTATATAGAGGTTAAATTTTATATGTTTCATATAAGCTTGTTTTAAAAATTAGATGATTATAAGTAAATGTGACTAAATAGAGTGTGACTATAGAGAGATTTGACTGTACTAATTTTTAGCAACCTTGAAGAGATTGCAAGAGTCGTCTATTGATTAATAGAACTTTGAATAAACAAAGTTCATTGAGTAGTTAGAGATACGCATCTTCACTCACACTCAAAATTTAAAACAGTTTATGTATTAAATGGAAAGTTACACAAATTTTTTTAGGATTTTGAGTGAAGGGCATCTCGATGACTCTAATCAAACTCGGTATTTTAGCTCATTAGTTAGTAAAATTTGAATAGAAAATGTTTTGGGATCTTCGTTCAAGGTTTTATAATTTCATTGGCTAGATAATTTATGTTACACGTAGAAAATCATTAAACCGAGCTCACTTAATTCCGAGTTTCTTATATTGCTATTGGTCTTTTTAAAATAATTTTGAATAGCTACACGCGTTTGTTTTAAAAAAAAAAAAGTACTCATAAGTACACGATCCATACTGATCGCACCCGTCTACGATAACGGTTCATAATGTTTGACAAGAATGGTAGATGCGAAGTGGTCGATCCTCCGATGTTCGCCAAGGTATAGTATTTCTACCGTCAGCAGCTTTAAAGCAAACTATGAAATAAAAATTTCTATATAATACTTTAATTTTAAAAGGATTTGATGGACAGTTTTCGATGGATGATGGATGCTTTCTCTGGCAAAATAAATTATGAAGATCGAC